TAAAAGCTCCAGTCACCAGACCAGGCTGTCCTCCCGGGGCGGGGGGCGGGGAGCTCCCCTGAACTTCCATGCGCTGGCGTTGTCCAAATCGCTTTCTTTTCGTCCCTGGTATTGTCGCTTCTCCCCGAGTCCGGCTTGTGTACAAAGGCATGTTGCGTGTTGACCGTCCCCATGTAAGACATGTTCAAGGCCACTGCTTAGTGTTTGTTAGGAAACATGAAAAACAGGAAAGGAGACAGAACACCAGCAGGAAAAGGGTGAGCGGGCTGCGTGGGGAGGCGTGGAGGGCAGCGAGGACCCTCGGCCGCTCAGATGAGGGGCCGCAGCTTCTGTGTGGGCTCTGGGGGTGTGGGACCTGGGGCAACACAGCGGGGCTCTGTGGGAGCCACAGCTCACGGCCACAGCCCCCAGCAGGGGTGCCCTGCAGATCGGCACAGATGTGTGAGGGTTTCCGAGCCGCCTGGGGGGGTGGTCTCTGCAAACAGGAGTGGGAGACTCCCTGTGTCTTTTCCTGGTGTTTCTAGAACCTCACCTGGGTGCTGCCCTGGTTCCTGACAGGCCAGGCCGGGGGTTGGGGGGGTGGGGGGGTGTTGCAGAAAGCGCACAGGCACCCGATTTTAAACTTTTGTTCGGTTGTTTGTTTCCCAAAGTGCTAATAGCAATGAGAAGAACAATAAAGGTCGTAACCAGGAAGCTCAGGAGGGGCCGGAGACCCAAGGTGGGGGCCGCAGCGAAACGAGCTGGTTCTGAAGGAGGCGCACACTCGGGTCTCCTGCCCATGCCGGGTGTCGAAGCGACACCCGCCCACCCCTGAGCTGGTTTAGATGCTCCTGACAAGGAGGCGGCACCGGCCTCAGCCCGCCCCACCCCGGCCCTGAACCCCCTCAGCACCCACGGTGCGCCCCACAAACACTCTGGGGAGGCCCCCTCTGCGGGCCTGGGCTGCAGGCTGGGAGGTGTGATTTGAGATGAGGTTTCCCCACGGAGCTCTGACGGCCATGCCAGGGCCTGGGTGGCTGCTGTGCGGCCGTCACTGTGTCACTGTGCACAGCAGCTGGGCCGAGAGCAGCGGCTCCCGAAGTCCCGCCAAGGCCACCGTCCGACCCTCCCCCTCCGCCCGGCCGCAGGTCACCCACCTCCATCCTCATCCACACCCATGACAAGCTGTCCCTCGCCCAGCCGCTGAGCGCTTTCTAACTTTGTGGTGTATTTTTGTCAGTAGGTAGCAGAGGCTGAGTATTTTTTGTGTAATTCTTGAACTTTTCTGACAGGAAACAAATAAAGATAGATGTGTCTGAGAGTCGTGGCCTTTCTTTATCTACTGCTCCGGGGCCCGGCGGGGAGAGGCTGGGGCAGGGTCCCCGGGGCTGGGCCTGGAATTGGGCGGTGGGCGGACCTCCATCCTTAGGCCTCGGGGGGCCTGAAACCATGCCGAGGTCAGAAGCAAGAACCAAGAGAGGCACCTGCTACCAGCCTGCGGCCCAGGTCCTGCCCTGTGAGCGCCTGGGGGCGGCTGTGCGGGGCAGCACCCAGCCTTTCCCTGCCTGCGGCCCAGGTCCTGCCCTGTGAGCGCCTGGGGGCGGCTGTGCG